CTTATGCAGGGACACTTGGCTCAGTCTGGGAGGAAGGGACTGGACCTGCCTGGACTGAGTCTACCAGGTTGATCGCAGTCCTCGGGGGAGGATTTGCCCTGGAGGTGGTGGGAACGGGGGATAGGCTGGAGGTAAGGGGAGGGTGTGGAAGGGGGGAGAATAGGGGAACCTGTGGCTGATATGTAGAACTGAATGATATTGTAAAATGAAATAAATAATTTTTTTTTAAAAAAAAGGTGTTATTTAGAGCTAGGGATACATGTACCACAGTGACAGAGACAAAAATGTACACATGAAAATGCATGTGCTCAGCCAGGCGGTAGTGGCGCACACCTTTAATCCCAGCACTCGGGAGGCAGAGGCAGAGGCAGACAGAGCTCTGTGAGTTCGAGGCCAGCCTGGGCTACAGAGTGAGTTCCAGGATAGGCTCCAAAACTATACAGAGAAATCCTGTCTCAAAAAAAAGTCACTACTCACCAAAATTACACACTGATATTCCATGTTGGAAATAACTGCCCAGAGATTCTTCTTTTTCAACACAACTAAGTTAATTACATTTTCCCTCTGTGCTGTGAGCAATTTGATATTACATATAACTGGTACTTTCCCACATCACACTCAAATTAACCTGCTAGGAAATTTCTCTAACTAAGGCTTCTTAAATATTTATATTAATGGAACTTAGGTTTTAAAATGTGAAATTGCTTTCCCTGCAGTGCCATGAGTTTTTCGTGCCATGGTTGAGTTATCTGAACATATTCACAATCGTTCTTTTAAATACTTTGTATTGAATTTTGCTTCAGGGACTCTTCCAGTTGGCCATTATTGTGGGATTGCTCATTTGGGGAGGCACAATGTTGTCTTGTATTTTCCATGTTATTTCTGTTTTTGTAATGGGGCTTACTCATCTGGATCTAGTTTGCTGGTTAATTCTTCCCAACACGGTTGTGTTTAGTGTTTGGATTGGTCTTGGGGTTCATGGCTTGGCTGTTCTTGGCTTAGGTGTGTCTCCATGAAGCTCAGTTGTGGAGATATATAGTGCTCTCTTGTAGGTGGGATAGCAATAGTGATGCTGGAGGAGAGATAGAGGCAGTAAAATGCCAGGGTTGAGGCAAGTCTTGGGAAACTGTCGTTATTTTTTATTAAGAAATTTTTTTATTCATTTTTCTTACCAATCACAGATCCTCCTCTTTCCTCCTTCTGCCCCTCCAGCCTTCCCCCCAGCAATCCATGCCCCATTCCCTCCTACAAGAAAGTAAGGCCTCCTATGGGGAGTCAGCAGAGCCTGGTACATTTAATAGAGGCAGGTCCAAGCCCCTTCCCCTGCCTCAAGGCTGTGTGAGGCATCCCACTATAGGTAATGGGCTCCAAAGAGCCAGCTCGTGCACCAGGGATGGGGATATTATCTTTGTATACTTTCTATTTCTGATAGAAATTATGACAAAAAAATCAAAGTTGAGAGGAAAGAGTTTATTTTTCTTTCATGTACTGATCTAAGTCCATCATTTGAACTCAAGCAGGAGGAAAGGAGAAAACACGGAGGAAAACTACTTATTGGCTTCCTCTTCATGGCTCACTCACTTCACATTCTTATAGAACTCAGGACCAACTTCAAGGGAAGGAAGTGTGCACAGTGTGCTGAGATCCACTAATCAAGAAACTGGTTTCCATAACCTGTCACAAATTGCTAAATCATAAGCCTAGTAATCCTCTTCATTTATGAGCCATCTGTTTGTGTAAGTGGATGGATTAGGAAAAGATTGTATTGGGTGAGTGAGCCCAGATTCAGAAAGAGAAATGCTGAAAGTTCTTTACACCTTCTGTTCTTAGCTTCCAATCTCTGGGTGTGAGTATAAAACATGGAGGAACAGACAAGGAGGGCTTACTTAGCAGGTTTGACACCTATCATTTTATCTGAAGCTTTTACTGGAGGGAAGAAGCTACCAAGAAGGACTAATGTCTAGGTTTGTATTTGAATTGGGACTTTTGGCTCTAGAGGAGAGGGTACTTAGCAGGAGCTGAGTGCTAACTCTGTATGGGGGGGCAGAGCTTAGACTGTATTGGGAGGAACTATCTGATAGAACCAGACACAGCCATGTATTATATGAGGGATTTTGGTTACAGGGGAAGAGAAAGCTAGTAGGACCTGCATCTAGTTGCCAAAGTGGGGCTCTGTTTGAACAGAACGATATCTAGCAGTAGCTGACACCTCAGAGAGAGAGAGAGAGAGAGAGAGAGAGAGAGAGAGAGAGAGAGAGAGAGAGAGAACATTTTCATGGAAGTTTGTACCTAACAGGACCAGAAAACTGTATGTTTATGAGCATGTATATAATTGTGTTTTTGTTATAGGGAAGTTTGTACCTAGCAGGAGATGAAACACATCTGTGTGTAAGTAAGAGCTATAGCTGTTGGGGAAGGGATACGTAGTAGAACCTGACATCTACCCTACCATGTGATGGTAGGACTTTGATGCAGGAAAGGGACTACTGTGCAGGACCTGACACCTAGCCATGTACCTGTATGTGGAGCTTTGGCTGTAATGGAAGAGAGAAATAGCAGAGCCTGATGATTGCCTTGTTTGAAGATAGGGGTGGAGGTTATGACTGTGAAGCAGGTGTATGTAGCAAGTTGTAATATTTACTTGGGAAGTTATATGTGGACCTTATGATGATGGAGAAGGGTTATGTATCAGGACCTGATATGTAGACCTGTATGTATATGTTGGGCTTTGGATGTAAGAGAGAGGATACCCAGCAGGTACTGAAAACTAAAATGTGTATGACACACTCTGTAAGGCAGAGGATGGCTAGCTGAACCTGTAACCTAGCTGTGTGTGTGTGTGTGTGTGTGTGTGTGTGTGTGTGTGTGTGTGTGTGTGTGTGTGTAGGGAAGGGGAGGAGTGGAGAGGAGAGAGAAGAGAGGAGGGAGGAAGGAAGAGAGGAGAGAGAAATGAGTGTTGCTTTGCCAGTAAGGAAGGGGATACTTAGCAAGAACTGACATGTATACATATTTGTATATGTGGGGCTTTGTTTGTAGAGAACATGGTACTAAGTAGGTCCTGATTCCAGAGCAGCTTATTGAATGGGGGGGGGCTTTGACTGTATGGGGACACTAAGCATGACTTGGTAGTCATTTAGTTAGATCTTTGTCTAGAATGAGGGGCAGACACCCCACAGAACCTGATACCTAGTCATGTGTGAGTCTTTGCTTGTAGGGGTGTATATCTAGCATGACCTGGCACCTTGGAGTGTATGTGGAGCTTGGACTGTAGAGGAGGAGGATACCTAGCAGGACCGAACACCTAAGCATTTGCGGAAGGTAGTGTTCCAATCAGTAGTTTCCTGTATGTCCTTTTACCTAGCACTGAATACTGGACCCAGCAGGGTCCTAAGTATACCTAATACATTCCTATGTATGTGTAGCTGCAGTGACACAGAGGGGCATGTGTTCAGTATGGCCTGATTCCTAGCAATGTGTTCACATTGATGCCAGAGGTAAGGAACTGTCCACTTGAGCTATTCTAAACCTGATACCTAGCAATGTATTTGAGGCTGCTGCAAGGTGATGTGTGTCTTCCAGGGCCTTCAGCTACCATTGTTAAAGTTTGTAACAAACTGGAAAACATCATAACATATAAGGAGACTGTGGGGAAGAGTCCACACACAGCACAGTGACTAATGTTCTGTTGTGTTATAAGGAAAGAGCTAAAAGTAGATATAGTTTTACCTAAAACAAAGCAGGTCCACAAACAATAATAAAATATACTTTATCTCTTCTGGGTCATGAGGAAGTGGGGGGCTGGGCTTTCATAAAAGTCATAGTATTAGTCACAAAGATGTGGTGGGGATACTGAAATAGTGCAGGGAAATATGAAAAGTACAGTATAGGCATGTATGAAAACT